TGCTGAATTCATGATATTGAGTCTAATATTACTTATAAAACCTGTCAATTCATTTATATAGTTAATTGACATAGAAAATACTACATTTCTTTCATCAAATTGTTTTCATCCATATCTCACGTACTTCAGTTTTCCATTGGGACAGTGGGGCAGAGTGTGAGACAGTTAAAAGTAAGACAGCAATGGAGACCTGTGCTAAAGAAAGGCAAGCAAAGGGGAAAGAATAGGTCAATGAACACTCTTCAAAAGTCCTTATGTGTCCAGTGGCTCCCAACAACTTTATTGATCTGTTATCCTTCAGTATGGGTTTAAGGTAAGAAAGCAGTTAACGTTCTAATAGCCGTAACAATGTTTTATATGCAATGCAGGATTTAAGAGAAAATCTTAAGGATTAAATAAAACATTTTGGCAAATTTGTGTTTAATTTTTCATCTCTATTAAAAAATTACTAAAATAGTAATTGACCCAAAAAACTTAATGCAGTGGTGAGAAAAAAATGTTTATTGATTTTGAGGGTGACAAGGTCTTCATTGTGAGAGGTTCATCCCTTCTTCTTAGCCAGAAGCGCAAGGTAACAGAATGAAGTTTAGAGACATTTGCCATCCAGGTATCCTGGCACATGACTATAATGCCACTTGGGGAGGTTGAAGTGGAGGCTCCAAAATTTGACTCTAACCCAGCCAATTTAGCAACATAATGAGATCCAGACTCAAAAATAAAAAAAAAAAATTACCAAATATTAAACGTGCTCTGAATGTAGATCAATGTGAGTGTCCTGGGTTTAATCCCCAGTGTAACCCCAAACAAAACTATGCTTCCAGGGTGATCAGTAGGACAGAAATGTATAATTATGCAAGGGCTTTCATTAGATGTGCTTACAGGATCAGAGGCAGGTGAGTGCACAATAAGAAGATGGAAGCCAGGGAAGAAGAGAGATTAAGAAGATAGCACCAGTCTAAGGTCAAAGGTCTGCAAGCTCACTGCAGAGACCCCAGTGTAAGACTGCACTGGAAGTTGAAAGAAATAGGAACTGATATCCAAAGGCTACAGCAAATATGTGAACTGTCACACAACGGGGATACCTCCTTCTTTCTCTTTTTTATTCTGTCCAGGCTATATGCCTATCTGGGGGTGAGTCTCCCCTGCCCCCCTCAGTTTTCTAGCCTACATAATGGTCATACACTGATGTACTCACAGTTGTGCAAATTCGGGACTGAACAGCAAACTCTTACCTGGATACCTGCCTGGAGGATTGCAGCAGCTGATAAACCTCGCAGAGTAGAAAGCAAGAGGGATGAAAAAGCAGGCCCCTTTTGGCCTGATGAGATTGTACTAGGGTAGGTACGCTGTCAATGTGTAAGAATTTCTGGGGGCTTGGAAGGCAAGAAACAGAGGCAGAGCTGTCTCTGCCTTCCAACAAATTATACAAGTCTCTCCTTGAATACGCACATCATTTGGGTTATGGGTCAGTACTTCCAGTTTCTCACAATTCCCGAAGCAGACAAAAAATTTCTCTTCTTTGAAAGAAAAACAACTATGGGGAAGAACAGAGAGTATGTAGTCTGATGTACCTCCTACTTTGAGATTCCATTTTACCCCACAAAGAATAGTCATTATAAAGGAATCAAATAATAACAAATATCAGCAAGGCTGTTGGGGAAAAGGAACACTTCTACATTTTGGTGGGAAGGTAAACTAGTAAATTACTACAGAAATCAATGTGGATATAGTTCAAAAGACTGAAACCAGAAATTCACGTTGTCTCAGCTCTTCCCCTTCTAGGTATCTTCCACAAAGAGTTAAGGACACCATATTACAGTGATACACACAAACCTGTGTTTATAGAACATCATTCATAATAACTACATTTCAGAAATGACCTAAAATGATGTCTTTTAAGTACATGAAATGTCATATATCAATAATATTTATAGTAAAATTTTGCAAAACCTCTGAACAAGAACTATTCAGTACTGAAAAAATTTTTTGTGCCTTCTTAACTAATGAAGCTAACTATAGTGCTAAATGCCCATAATCCCAGCACTTTGGGAGTCTATGGCAGGAGAATCTCAAACTTATCTAAACTCTGAGGAACTGAGCAAACAGCAGCCTATGTGCACCAGCAGATGAATAAAGACAGCGTAGTGCTTACACACGGTGGAGTACTACTCTGCCATAAAGAAAGGTAAACTGGTGTCATTTGTAGGAAGATGGATATATTTTGAGACCATGATGTTAAGAGAAATAAATCAGAAACACAAACATAAATATTGCATCATTTATCTTGAGTGAGAAACACAGCGTAAAGATAAAGAGCAAAAGAAAAGATAGATGATAGGAGGTAGGGAGAGAGATCTCAAATGGGAAGGGGATCAAGAGATATAAGAGGGAGGGAGGGAGAGAATGAAAAGGGGATGAAAACTGAAATTAAAATGTGTTATGTACATGGACCAGCTCCACACAGGAATGTAAACACTGTGCACTGCAAGTATGTAGTGATAAAAGAAGAAAGTAAAAAAGACAAGATCAAAGTAATAATTGTTCCCCACCCCTGTCCTGCACATATACAGGATGATGCTCTAAGTATGTATGCTTGTTGAAATGATGAAAACATCTAAAAATCTTTTTAATGACAACATGCATTCATGCATCCTTTTTACTTATGAATATTGGAGTTATTTTGAATTGTTTGATGTGCTAGGCAGAAATCAATACTCAGTCACTACAGTTTTTGCTAGACTTGATCATATATAATCCACCCACTTATTCACAGAACTGTTCACAGGCTATAATCTTACCAACACTGGAAATACCTGATTTCCAAAGCTACAAACCCTATGAGTGAAATAAAATGTGACTGCAGTTTGTTCTCCATGTTTTACTGGGAAAAATTTAAATAAACATAAATGTAATGAAAAACTCCAGTGAAGATCTATACACCCATCTGTACATTCAAAAGTTATTTTGCCATATCTTTTTCAAAAGTTCTGAACCATTTTAAAGTTATTAGCTAGTGTCATAAAATTTCACAAATAAATACTTCAGTGTGCCTCTTTTACAAACCAAAATATTTATTTCCCTAGTCATGGTATCATTAAAAAAAGAAAATGAACAAGATATCCAGGATATTATTAATTTTAACTCTTTATTCAAAGTATCAATTCTCTAAAAAATAATGCTGCATAGTTATTTAATTCTGATAAAAATCCAAAATCCTCATAATATATTCAGTTATACCTCTTTCAGTCTCTTTTATGTAGACAAATTCTTTTATTAATTTTTAATAGCATTATATCTTTGAAAGATCTTTCCTGTTTTCCTACAAAATATCCCAAACTAGACTTCTCTGCTTTCTTCGGATACTATTTCTTGTTTCTTTAAGCTTTTATTCCTGTGAACTAAAAGTTAAATCTTAAAGTTTATTTAGATTCAAAACAAGTATTTTTTTTTGCATAGATATTTTATGGGTGATGATCTCTATTTTGCAACACATCGGAAATATACTATAGTTTACCATTATTAGTTCTGCTAGGATTAATTCCACTAACGTCGAAAACTTTTTAAAAAATTGATACATTATTTCACTTTGAATATATTGAGAAGTATGAGGACTTACCTTGGCATTAAGCAAATATTTTCCCCCCTAGATTTTGACCTTATTTGTTTTTGTGTTCATTTGTAATCCTTCCCTGAATATTGCATTCAAGCATACAATTCCTTCTATATTTGGTAGCAGGTATTTTTCCATTTTAGACCTGTCTCCTAGAATTAAAGATAATTTAGATTGTCTTAAAAGGCAAGAACATTATTGACAAATGTCTTTGTCAAATATCAAAGAAAAAAATGTAATCATTGTCTCTAGTGGACATTTGGGAGTTTTGTGTGTCTGTTTATATATGTGGGAAATCATATTACTGTTGATGAATTTCTTCTGGAGGATTATAGACTCTTGTCGTGTAGTATTCATATGGAGCATCTTACTTGCTATGGTCAATGAAGTATAAACATCTTGCTTTGCTTCCCCTCAGTTGAACTACTTAGCAAAGCTCTCAATCCAACCTATTCTTTTGGGATGGCTCACTAATAAGTGCCATGTGTTTTTACAATATGTAATGAGTATTTTGGGTAATCTGGCTTATGATGAATAACTAGTATAGACTAATGCATATTACCTTTTAAATTTCATTTTAAATTTTATTTAGAGGGTGTGTCCTTATGTTTTATAAATTATGAACATAAGTTGAACACATTTTTATTAGTCAAACAAAAGATAAGAGTGCAAGAGACATTTGGACAGGAAGAATGAAACATACTATATAAAACATCACTGAAAGACCAAAGAAAAGAAAAATTAAAACTGACCACACAATTTGTATATGAAAGTACAAAAACTTTGAAACGATGTTTGCTGCAATAAGGTATTCTACACAGGAAACTGGGATAAAGGAAAAGAGGACTGTGGGTACAGAGCACAGTTCTATGCATGTTTTCCATGAAGTTGAAAAAAGAAATTGTAGCTAGGCAAAGTCTTGTCCAAGGGGAGTTTTCTGTTTTTGTTGTTGTTTAGAAATTAAAACAATATTGTTCACTCTGTCAGTATCAGGTATGTAAAATTTTCTTTGGGGTTTGATTTGATTTTTCTTACCCTAAAAGTTGAAGAAAGCAAAGCATGTTTAAAGTTTGTAAAGTATAATTGCTATGGCAGGAAAACAACAACAAAAAACATATAGAAATGTCAAAAAGAACTAACTGAAAGAAAATTTATATTAACCGACCTTTAACATCTTAGAATTCTAAATCTTATATATCAATATTAATTAAAACCATTTTCTGAGGGAAAAACTGAAGGAAAGGAACTGATGAGAAATAGACTCCATTTTCACAGTATATGCAAAGGGCGGTCTGTTCTGAGCACATGAGAATGTGGTTGTATAGTGTGGCCACAGCAGCTGGCACAGTGCATTCTGCTTTCCAAGGATACTCAGGAAGAAAACTTCATGTTTTTTTAAATCTGATTTTATCTCAAATTGGAGATTTCATGGTAAGCAAGCATAGCAAAATTATTCTGGTCCAAAATGTTGACAAAAAAAATGCCTCTCACGCAAATCAACCTGAACGGAGAATGACAAGACTCTGAGAATGTTCTCTCCTGGAAGCAGAAAAGAGGAGAGGACACTATGCTACAATTTGCCTTTTATTTTCTAAGTTCCCAATAGCAGTCCTTTTAATATCCTCATACCCTCCTTTGAATAATGGACATACTAATACGTTCGTGCTTTGGTGTGTTTTGTGTTAGGTGTGTTAACCCACAATCTTAAGTTCACCAAAGCAATGGTCCATAATATGACTAAGCATGGGGTGGCTCTGCTTTGCAGTCTAAGATGAAGTATTATACTCTACAGTGTTATATCCTAAGAATCATTGAGCCACACAATAGCAGTTTCTAGTGGTTAGTAGAATAATCACTAATTGATGTTCATAGACAAAATCCAAAGTCTAAATCCCTCGTACCATTTTAACGCAACATGGGGAAAGAAATGGCCTTATATATTCTTTGAGATGGGTACCTGGACTGAAAAAGTTCTAGGATAAACCGGCTGGCTAATGCTACACTTTCTGTTCTCAGACAGCGCAATCTTGTCCAGGCACTCAGTTCTCTTGGTTCTCTCAGTTCTCTCATTTCTCTCTCTTCCCATTATTGTAGCTTCAACAATCCCCCAGCTAAACCCCTATTCCCTAAAGATTTTTTTCAACCTCACTGCACCATTGTTTTCCATCTTTCCATCATACCCCACTTTTTACTCCTGCTCCTTCTTCTCTTCCTGTTTTTCATTCCCATCTCCTTTTTCTTTTTCAATTTCCTTTCTCATAATCTCTCTTCCTTGAAAGCTTAGACTTCCATCTTCCTTTTCAGTTATTTCTATCAGAACTAATAAAGGAACTCTGGATGAATTATTCTGTTTCTCTAGGAAGTCCAACTCTTAACTCATTAGTGCAAAGAGCAGTGAGATAAACAGACTTACACGGATGAAAGTGCTCCCTCTGTGTTCTCAACAAACCTGCCTGTCCCTCTTCTCTATTTACAGGCACACAGCAGAGGGATAGACACTCAGCCATCATATGGTTAGATTCTCACTATCATACAATGTTTTAAGTTAACATTCAAGTTAAAAATTAAATGTTATATGTAAACATGAGTATAATGCTTTTTCTACACCAAGCATTTCTTACCAACAACAGTGGAACACACTAATGAATGCTGCTCTTTATTAATTTTGATTAACTAATACTGCTTTTCAGCTTTGCTCTATACAAAGGTAGTGCTTTAATAAATGAACTGTTCATCTAATCAGTGAAATTTTTCAGGTGTCTGTGTTATCAAAGTCTCAATGATTGTGATACACAAAAACAAAATGGGTGCTAAGAAATACAAGTGAAGATATTTCTTCACATGTTAATATTTTTTAAAACCCATACATTTTGATATATGTGTCTACTTCTTCCCACAAAACTGCAAGCACCTGTGTATGAGAACTGCACCTAGCATAATTTTTTCCAGAATTTAGAACAGTTTTTGACAAATATCAAAGAAATTTTTGTTAGAACCATGTTTGAGTTGATTATCACCATTTATACAGGCATTAAATATCAGCAAAAATAGCACATGCTCAAATAAGAGAAAATTTGACATTTGGAGACATTTGTATATCTTTTCTCTCTTCAACATAAAAATTATGTACACAAACATATAGCTATATATAACACATAAACATCCGTGCATAAAAATAGGTGCATACACATATTTTGAAGACTTTTACTCTTATAAACCCAGTTTATGCTTGAGAGAAGAATTACACTAATTGCTCTTGGAATTTTCAAGTAGATTATTTACTCAAGTAATTTGAATATATTAAATGTATTTTCTGAGAATTATATGTATTGGCATTCTTTCCTAGTGTGTGTGAAGGTGAGGAAAAATGTACAAGTAAGACTTTGCTGTTATACATTTTTAATTATAGTTACTAATTTTAATTGCTTTTATTAATATTTTAAAGAAGTAATACTAGGAATATGCATCTATACTTGATTTATACAAAAAAGATGATAAACATACCTGTGGAATTAATAAAGAATAATGCATACAGATTACATGTATAACACTTTCTTTAAAAATATCTTTCTACTGTAATTATTTAAACTATCCCATAAAAATGAAACATCCCAGTATACAGCTGTGATTATTAATCTGATAAATCAACTTCATTGGATTAAGAAATACTTAGATTAGTAAAGTTCACTCCTAGCTTTCTGTGGGTTGGGTACAGAGATATCTGTGGCCTTGGGCAAAATAAATGGTCTCTATCCACTTCCTCACTGGCATTATTCTCCTGTTTTACTCTCTCCACTGTCACATACTGAGCAACTTTGCTTCACCATGCCCTTATGTCATTACCTTCTTGCCTTGGGGCCTGCCTATCATGCAGTGAATATTCTAGAACATGATCTAAACTAAACTTTTCCTCCTTTCATTTATGGGTGTTAAGTATTGGGCCCAGGAGTGGGAAAGTTAGTACAGATAACTGAAAAATGGGATCATTACTATTCCTGTACTTGATCATATAGTTTAGATGTCCTTAAACCTACTTTGCTGAAGGAATTTGAAAATGCAGGCTAGAGAATACTTAGTATGCAGTAAATAGAGCCAGATGGATGATTCTGGTCAGAGCTCAGAAGACCAGAATGGGGATAAGAATATAAACAACAAAGCCCTGACTCGGGAGGTTTTATTTGGGAATAAGCATTTCACTTATAATTTGACTACACACCATGATTGTTACACTTTAGAAACATTTGTCTGCATTTTACCCATATTTTAAAATCAGAAGAGACTCATGAGTCACTTAATCTGGCAGATAAACTTTCAGACTTTGGAATGGGCACTGTGCTTATAATGAGAATCATAGGCACAAGGCAAAGCAAAAAGAAAAAAAATAGAAAAAAATTAAATTTCTAGTCAGAAGGTACCACCTTTAAAGTTGGGTCAAAGAAGGTGTTGCTGGTGGAGAAATTAGTGTCACTAGAAAGAAACCAAGTGCCATCTATAGGGGCAAAAGGAAATATGCCTTGAGGATCTCTCAGAAATCAGGAAGACTTCACTCACCTAGTGTCATGAGTGAAAAATTATAAATCTTCATTTGAGAAGAGAGGGTTTGGTATACCTGATGCAGAAGGGACCCCTAGGAAATTGATTGCTCAAGTTTTATTTCACTGTACTCAACCACCTAAGCACTTAGAAGTTACTGCAGCCATTGTCCAAGGTGTTCTGTTTACTGCTCAAACAGGAAACTAATCTTGGTATTATCCACATGATTCTAGTTTTACTGTCATACAGAGTACAAGATTTGTGGGGTCACAAAGGCTTCTTTATAGATTTCAATGCAAGGTCTAGAAAGCCATCCACTTGAGAGGGTGGTATACGAAACTGTGAGAATGAAGTCAGAGGTGCAGTGGAGGACTCAGGAATTTAGATGTCAGGAGCATGGAGTCTGTGACAAAGAGAGCTACAGCCTGAGAGTAGAACCAGTCCCAAAGACAAACTGTACAGCTCGCAACCAGCAAGTTCGTAGAGGTGGAATCTTCCAAGCCATATGGAGCCTCATCTCGCTACCCTGTGCCCCACTTGCCAGATACAGAGCTACAGGCCTTGATGTTTTCCTTGCTAGATTTTAATCTTGCTTTGTTCTGATTCTTTTCTGTCCCTATCCCTTCACCGTGGAAGGGAATGCTTGCCCTGTGCCATTTTTCCTTGGGATTTTTGCAACATTTGAAAGAAAAATTACAGAGGTCTACTGCTAAAAGTTTGACTTAAGTCCCAGAAGACTTTAGATTTAGAGTTTTGAAAAATACTAGAATCATCGAGACTTTAGGGAAGGGATTATGGTGTTTCTCATTGTATGCTGGGTAGTTGTATTATATTAGGTGGAACTATGAACTTGACATTATCTTTACTTTGAGATTAACTATGTTAAGTATAATGGATTAAGAAATACCTAGCAGATTAGTAAAGCACTGAGTGTGTCTGTGTGTCGTGAAGGATTTGGGGTACTGTGTATTGTCCTTAGCCAGTTCATTTCCAGCACTGTTTCTCTGCTCTGGTTTCTGGTAGCCATGAACTGAGAAGCTTTGCTGCACCACAGATTTCCAGCATGAATTTCCTTCCTTGGATCCTGCTGATCATGTACTGAATCTCCTAAAATATCATCTAAATTAAACTTGTCCTCCTTTTAGTTGTGGGTATTGGGTGTTATGTTCAGCAATATGAAAACTAATACAATAATTAAAACTTTTATAAATTTTAGTCATTTTTTCCAGTGGCTTCCTATCGGATCTATATGAGATTATGAAATGTCATTAATAATAAAATATGATTGAATCTCAAAGATCATACATTTCAGTCTTTCACAATGGAATTCCTTTTGTCATGCTTTTGCTATGTTTATATAGTGTTTGCTTGTTACCTAAACTGTGACCATAAAAACCAGCCAATTTTAATTTTTAAGCTTTTCTATCTTTTAGCGATTTCTCAAACTATGGTAAATGTTCCTTATATAACTGTTATGTGTTCTGCTCCCTAACACAAACATTAAGCTGAAATTCACTTTCTCAAGAATTCCAAAATCCTGCATTAAACTGTTTTTCAAGCTTTTAAGTTAAAATTTTTTGTTTTTCCAAGTAAGAGTCTTACGATGTGCCTTATTTTTATCTTGTTTGACTGTCACTTATAACTCATAAGTTTAGTTAGTATTTCTGAGAAGAAAAAGGTATAGGTATATATACTATATACTAGTATATAGTATAAAGTATAAATATCAACTGAAATGATTAGGTTGGAATTTCCATGATGGTGGTTTGGTTTGGGCTGGTTTGATTTGGCTTTGCTTTGTCTTCTTTTGTTTTGTTTTTGGTAGCACTTGTAAATTTTCGATGATCATTTAATTATTGTGAGTATCAATGACATAAGAGAAACTATACTTTAGTGATAAAAGAAGGAAAGGTGATGATAAGATTATAAGAAGGCAGAAGAAATGATAGAAATCCCTAGAGTATTTCTCATTGGAAGTTAAATTACTGACAATATTGTGTCTACAT